AAAATTTGTTCCAGTCAATTTGTTGGCATCCAGTATGCCTCTCAAATTCATATGATTACTCATGATTTAAAAAATTGTAAATGACGAAAAACATAGAATTAATATGTATTATAATGCATATACATAAATTTAATATGGACTTTAATTAAACGTGCTCCCACTGTTTAAAATAAATTCATGACCCTCATACATAAATTATTTGAATCCACGCTTGATTTCCAGTGGGCTGGGATCTCATTCGTTGTATCAAGATCTTGAGTATACTCAACAAATCCTAATAAAATATTTGGGTAGATATTATTATCAATTGTATCTCCATACAACTCCCAGATCATTAAGCTGACAATTCTTTTGTCTTCACACATCTTATGTGTTAGCTTAACATGTCTCTAAAACTTATTTTCTTGAGTGTACTCAACAAAAGATAAATTTTAGTTAAGTCAAACCCATCATTCAGAAATATCAAATATTTCATAGTGTCAAACATATCCCTAATAGACCAGTTTTGAGTGTACTCAACAAGCTAAGGTCGATTTAGAATTCTCGTTTTTCACTATAATGATGGAAGGCAAATAATACTAATTTAATATTTTTAACGAGGGATTTAACGTGCAATGGTCTCATCAAGTAATTATATATATATATATATATATATATATATAGCGAATAAATATATATAAATAATAGTATGGATGATTATCAATTTGTTCTATCTATTTTCACGAGCTAAAGAGAAGACTAGTTGGTCAATTCCTAAGGGGTACGACATTGGATCAATATATACATCTACTATGCGAATAAATATATATAAGTAATAGTATGAATGATTATGGACTTGTTCTATCTAGTTTTCCCGAGCCAAAAAGAAAACTAGTTGGTCAATTCCTAAGGGGTACAACATTGGATCAATACCAATACACCATCTCCATAGTGTCCACCTTTTCTTGCGCCTCCAATTAGTCAAACTGCAACATGTATCCTATACTAGTTAACATGCAGGCATAAAAAAAATCGGACTCACAAGTCCATAATAATAACAATAATAATGAACTCGCAGGTCCAATATATTAAAGAACTCGCATGCCCATAACAACAATACTAATAATGAACTCGCAGGTCCAAAATAATGAAGGGCTCACAGGCCCATAAAACAAAAGGAAGTAAATCAACCATTCAACACATCCATATGGTCAAGTCCATAATCATTCATAAACATTCATTACATAAATGTTTCTTGTATATAATATCTAATATTCTATGCAATGTCTCATAAATCTAGTAATTATAGTCATCAAAACTAATTCAAAAATTTTGGGAGCGAGATAATTAAATAATTAATTAATTATATCAATTAATTAACTTAATTGACGGGCCTATTTAATTAAAATCAAATTTTAACTAAATCCCGAATTAGAGTCTAACTCTAATTACATAACTATTGGACGAAGTGATTTAATCAAAATCGAATTTTAACTAATTATTAAATTAGAGTCATACTCTAAATTTTATTTTGCATTGGGAGGTCGTACTAATTGAAATCAAATTTTAATTAATATAATATTAGAGTTCAACGCTAATAAAATAGAATTAATATTTTAATTTAGGACAAAAATCCCAAACAAAATAAAAATTCAATTAAGGGTCAAAATTAAATATTTTAGTTAAAATCTAATTTTAACAAAAATATAAAAGTCGTCAAATTTTAAATAAATTTTAATTTTGGGTCAAAATTAGGGTATGGGTCAAACCCAATTAAAAACACATTTTAAAATAATTCAAAATTCAAAATCAAAACCATTTTTGACAATTTACAAATTTGACCCAAATTGGATATTAACAACAGACCCTTCCAAATCAAAAATTTGCAGAACAGGCCCCTCCTTTTTTTTTAAATTGTAAATTGACCCCATTTTCGTAATTGCAACCAAGGGCCCCTAATTGCATTATTTGCAACAGAGGCACCGTCTCCACTACCAAACCCAAATTTTTTTTTTATTTCTTTTTCTTCTCCAGTGAGGCGCCGCCCATCTGGATTCAACCAGCAGCGCATCACGCTGCCGGCTGCAGCGCTAAGGAACTGCAGCAGCGGCACCACTGCGCTGCTAGAGCTCCGCCTGCCTCGACCCCAAAAAAATTTTTTTTTTTCAAGAACAGATTCTGAAAAAAAAAATGAAAACTATATTTGTTAGATTTAAGGATGAATATGATTAAACCAACATTTAATTTAATCAACATGTAAAACAGTTCCTAACAAATACAAAGTTGGCTCTGATACCACTGTTGGGAATTTACTTAAACATGCACAGCGAAATTAAACAAATTTCAAGTCTTATTCAGGATTCAACTTTGTATTTAGATAAGAACTGTGATAAGAAATATACCTTTTCTTGATTTTGCAAATTCCTTCGCGTTGTTCCTTTCCAGCAGCTTGAATCTGCCTCCCACAGTTGTCCAATTGTCCAGCCTCCAATGAAATCCACACAAAGAATAGACTGCAACTGCTAGGGTTTTTCCTCTTGTGCCAACAAGAATAATGAAAACCTTATGGAACTCAAACCCTAACCATGTATTTATATAAACCCAAACGGGCTCGACCCGGTCCGATCCAATGTTTAATTAATCCATTTAATTAAACCCGGTCAGTGAATTAATTAATCCAATTAATTAATTCGGGAATATAAATAACAAATTCAATTAATTAATTTATCCAATGATTGTTAAATTAATCAATTGACAATTTGCAATCTTTCAATTCTCTTTTGTGTGCGACCCATTAAGTTCCCGACCACGATATCTAACGACGTGAAATATTATTTTGATCTAATCAAAACTGATAAATTAAACACTAGTCGTCCCAAATTGACATCTAACAATGTATCAGGGCAACACATGTGACGGAAAATGTCACGTGGTATGACAAAACCAAAACTGTTCGTTTACCATGAAATTATAATCCCTTCGTCAATATGATCCGATCAACTACGAGATATGGAAGTGTGTCAATCTCGATTATCGATCATATCTTTCATTCTTCTATTAAGTCAATATGAGTCGAAAACTCCTTTTCGACTTACATGTACACCTTGGCCAATGATTTCGTTATTGACTTAATTGAACGAAATGCAGATCACAATCTCTTATTATCTAAGAGTGACAAATCTTCTATTGGTCATTCACAACCTTCATATGGTTCTTGACATACACAAACGATGTCGTATTAGTGGCCCTTGGCAGAGCAACATCTAACACTGTCAAAATATGACTGTCTTCATACAAGACACTATGATGACCTCAAGTTGTAGGACCAATTTCATTACTGAACGTTAGAGATTAACCACTGACACTCGGATAGTTATCCATGTGGAATCTCTTAACGGGTCTCCAATGTTTTGTTCTATAACAAAATATCCACGTGTTCATTTAAGTGTCGCCACACTTTAACTCATGAGATCAGCTACTTACTTCACAAGTAAGAAATGCCACACGTGAGGGGGCAACCCCAGCCAAGTTGGTCGGGCAGTTGGACTAGCAATCGTGAGGTTGCTAGTTCGATTCCCATTGAAACTGTCTATTGGCTTTCTTGGTTTGAGCCGATCAGCTATGGGTAACCTAGACTAGTTTACCTCCTTATGGTCCTTTGCCGGCTAGGATCACAAGGCGGGATTTACCTAGTGCGCACCTTCGGGTAGCGGCTGCGAGGTTCCCTTGTCAACAAAAAGAAATGCCACACGTGATGGTCTAACTGTATCAACGATATCCGTATCTCGTTATTACTTACGACTACGGTTTATTCAAGAGCCAATTATATGTAATTTGTATCTCACAATCATAACTCCTTGTGATTAACAAATCATTTAAACTTGGATCTTCAGATTCTATTATTTAATATTATTTATCACAAAATTAATTTAAATAAATAATAGATCTCGTCAAAATTAAATGCATTAAACATATTAAAAACATTTACAACCTAAATCGATTGGATTTAGGTCATAACACTTACAAGAACAACTTTGCGTCATATCTATTCTTTTATACTTTTTGCTCGGCAAAAACTATTTTAACTCGTGTTACATCCTAAAGTTGGTATGTCGACCAAGTTCTGAGTTCAAGGTTTAATTTCTTATTAATTTAATATAAATTAATATTAGAAATAAATTATGTTAAATTTACTCTTGTTTTTAAGTTTAAAATTACACTCAAGCTTAAATGAACATACCCGATTTAATCTGAGACCCTATTCGGCTGGCTAAAAGATGCAGAACTTAAGCCATTCTCTGAGCCACATTTTTTCCTTGAAAATGCACTTTAAATAGTGTAATAATGAAAAATGTGTGATTAGAAAATAAAGAAAAATTTTAAATTTGTATGTAATACTATATTATTGAAAAATATGTTGTTGAAATTGTTAAGACTTGAGGTCTATCTTAAAAGGTCAATCTTGTTAAGAGAAGTAATCAAAAACCTTATAACTTAATCAATATTTTCATTTTTAATCAATGTGAAATTTTAGCTCTTAACATATCCCTACAAGATAGTGATTCGTTTGAATAGATCAAAAAATCAATCTCCAAATCAATATACTCATTTATTGAGTCTTAATCGAATTGATCGCTCACTGGAGTTTAATGAACTCTGATACCATGTTAAAACTTGAAATTCCATCTTAAAATGTCAACTTTATTAAAAAAGAGTAACTCAAAACTTCATAAATTGATCTATATTTTCATTTTTAATCAATGTGAAATTTTATCGCTTAATAGAAATGATGTCAAATCACAATTTTTTTATTTTTTTTAAAGAATGTGAATCAAACATAAATAATTTGTTTATCTACACTTTTAAAATAGTTCTTCAAAAAGTAAGTTAAACAACTAATCTTAAGAAAATTGATAAGAGTAGAAAATAAAAGTTAAAAGCAACTACAGCAAAACCAAGGCGGCTCTATTCAACTTAGTGCCGACCCTTACTATAAGCCGGGTACGCGATGGTCTAATACCCACTTCGGTTACATGTATTTTTATTTATATACAAAATCCCATATTTGAAATTGATTTAAGGCCTCCCGCCGACCTTGATTCAACTAAAGAATCATTGTCCAAGGATTAAATCCCAATCAATTCATAGAACTCTGATCGATGTTCCTCAACGTATTCCCACACAAACGACTACAATGCATCAACACTATTTGAACATCAAACTGTCACGAACAACTAGAATTACAGGTACGTTTTAACTACGCTCATAATCCAATACAATAATTATTGAAAGAATACTCTGAAAATCATTTCACGATAATCATCCTCCTAGGTAGATTCAGGATGACAACGAGGAATGCTCTCTACTCTGACCCAGCATTCTACGCAGGTTTACTCAATGTTAATCGTGACGACCTTTTTGGGTCTTCCACCGGAAGACTGAGCCCGAGAATTCCGACCCGGTCCAAACATTTCGTCTCGACCAAACCGCTGTGAAAATGGACGAGCAAAACCTCCCCAGGAAGCCAGATCAGTCTGCGCACCACCCGTATTCCCTAACCACCATTGGATGTCATATATGAAAATGATGAATAAGCACGTGATACAAAACTTGGTATCAAATGAAAGAAATACAAAAGCAGAGAGGAAAAAATAAATAAAATAAAATTCCCACCGAGGTAAAATAGCACCGGAATAATTAACAGTTAATATTCTACCTATATCATAATTGAACAAGTATTCTACGGTCTGTCATGCACAATATCATAATTGAACAGGCAGTAACCATGCCAAATTATTACACTATTAAGAACAAATTAAGGGTCATCCACACAAATCCTTTTCTTATCACTATACTAGACGTACTTGGAAAATCTAAAGCAACAATACAATCCTTGATATCATTGGCCATATCAATTTACCTGACCCTCCATCTTCTGACTTGTTAGATAGCGTCCTTAGGGATCCTATTTAGGTAAAATTCTACTATGTAAATTCTGTTCATTAGCGACCTCACTTTAATGAATATATGATATGTCTCCAGATTCAAATACATAACATTAACATATATGATATGTCTCCAGATTCAAATACATAACATTAACATAATTCCCCTCAAACCCAAAGTTTGTGTCTCTTTTTTCCAAATTAATTTTTGTGCACAAGTTATGGAAGTAATAGAGCATAATCTAGTGTCTCAGGTACATAAAATCATGGTTTTTAGGCAGTCGTAAAGAAAATACAACTTCCTAATACACTTGGCATATGTTTGTGCTTAGAAGTTGACGGTCTCTCCAACATGCAATCAAAGGAAATGTATTAACATATTTCCTCTCACCAGAAAGAAATTTGGCACATCACTCTTAACTTACCTGAACCAGAATGCGAGTCAAATCCAGTATTCCAGCCAGGCAAATGCCCATCGACATTACCTTTCCAAGCTTGCTCAAAGCCTGGCAGCTCATCTGAGAAACAGTAGAACAGAATCTCACACGTGGAAGAAAAGAAAATCCAGGGCAAGAATAGTCTTATTTGACGTAGACAAACCTTCAGCTAAATTGTGCAAAGTCTGCATTGTGTCAACCTTACCATCTGTATCAAGCTTCCTGGTAAGTGAATGGCCCTGTCACAACAATAAATTATTTTTGCCTGTTAATGAGACTTTATTCAACATATAGAAACTGCTCTTTAATTCTTCATCATACTTTTGTCTGCTACTGTAAAGTACCATTAAAGCGAGAATAGTTTACAATTTCTAATCTCCAATTTCTTCATGTGATATACACCTTACAAATATTAACACTGGGAATATCAATCAGAAATAAAGCAGAAAAATAATAATTTCGAAACAAAGTAAAAACTAAGTCTGCCCAACAGCATCATAATCTTGTGATAAATGCTAAAATGCTAATGCAAGATCTTGCTAATACAGAAGTCAAATTCTTTTCTACAGGGTTAAGTTTTTCCTTTGGTGTTTGACATATGAAATAGATAACTAAAGAGCGCTTGCCAAAATACCTTGTCATGAATTCCTCTAGAAATCCTGTGTGTTGCTTCACCAGTTGTTTTGTCAGCTTGTTTGCTGTCTTCTAGTATTACCTGTACATCAGAAAACCCGTCGAACCCGGAACCTGAAACAATTAATATTTTAGTAAACTTAAAGAAAATAGATGGCTACTAACCCCATCACTTCCAGTCTTTCGTGTCGTCGTTGCAGTGTAATAAGCTCCATTAATACCACCATAAGTTACCCTCTGGAAGTTAACACTCCGGCTCTGAGGTTGAGATCCCTCTGCTTTGCCATGGTTGGTTCTGTAAGAAACTTCTCTGCCGTTGCTTGTGCTCTTCCGGTGGTCTGCCAGGATAAGTAATGATAAGAAATCAAAGTATCTTTCATAATATTCTTAATAAGAAATCAAAGTTTTACCTCTAGTTTGGTCCTCTGGGTGCTCGACTAGAGGATTTCTATTAGACCAAGCATTCTCTTTAAATTTATCTTCATTATCTCCATCAGTATTAACATCATGGCCCTTGTCTTCTACTACTCTTTCGTCATCACTATCCAATTCTTCAATGATTGGTCCCTTTGATCTACTGGCACTGGCATGTCGAGATTCTCCATGGGCACTATTTGAACCGAAAGCGCTTGAACCAAACATGCTACCGAATGGGCGAGTGAAAAATGGGTCATCGAAAGGATCCCTTCCGCCAAATATGCTAGGAAACATACTCCCGCTAAAGCCAAAACCTTCAAAATCATCAAATGCACTGCCTGAATTGTTCGAAGAATTTTCTCTAACTTCTCTTCCTCTCTGCATCTTCTCCCACAAGAACCTCCCAAAAATTTAAAAATCAATAAATCCAATAGTTATGGCTCCCACTAACTAAATCATAAAAGAAAATTCTACACTTGCAATAAGTGTCACTGTTATAAGGGAAGTGGAGAATACAACTTCTCCGAGTTATAAGAGATTGGATAGTCTAATTTTTCCATTTTATATATATTGAAAAGGCATGAAACCAACTAATCTAAAAGATTAAACTTTCACACAAAGAACACATTTATTTAGTCTTCAACCCAGCCTTATTTTTTAACGATGACAGAGACACGCACAAATTCTTTCAATCTTCTCCCAACAATCACGCAAGCAAATCATACTCAAAGAGATAGAGATGATTCAATAAATTTCTGCAGAAATCCACTTACCGAATTTGAATTTCCACGAATAATCAAGAAAACGAAGTAATTATTAACTGAATCAAACGAAGTAATTACCTTCTGGTGCTTTGCGTTACAGAGAGAATATGAAGCAGATCGAATTCGAGAGAGAACGATGAGCGCTGAAGATGTCCTGAAATGCGTGTAATGTATATATGTATATAATCGTGCAACGTGTCAATTGCTGATACAGTTTTCTAATCAGAGTTTGAATTCTATCCCGCATACTAGATTGTTCCTTCTCCATATTATTTTTTTATTTATTTGTAAGCGGAAGGTGTAGAAGGTTCGAGTTTCAGTTATTCTAAAGTGAAAATTTAAATAAAATAAACAAGTATAGTTTCTCACCATTGTTCTAAAATTCCTTCATCGAACTTAAATTTTTTTTTTTTTTAACTAGCTACTCATCTTTTAATTTTGATGCAATTAAGTCACTCCAACTTTTGTTAACAAAATTAATGCGGCATCCTAATCGATCTCCTTATTTGTTCAACTTCACATTGTGAGTTGTCAATCACACATTTCACCTAAATTATCAAAATTTAACTAAAATTTTAATTTTTATCTAAATCAAATGGGACCTAATCAAATTCCATTTACGGGAGTGGTGGAATTGAGATGAAATTAAAAATTAAGTAGTTTTAATTAAAAGTTGATCACTAAATTGAAATTTTGTTCAGCGATAATTGCTTGTTAGAAGTAAAATATTCCATTACTCACCCAACTCGTATTCTACTCACGGTTTACTCATCAAATTAAAATTGTTTCCTAATAATCACTCATTTTTGAGACATTACACTATATTCATCACTCTTCAGATTCCATTCCTCTTCTTGTTAATGTGTCGCACAAAAATTACGCATGACACTTTATGATCGTCAAAAATTTACAATTCAGCCAAATGGTCTAAGTAAAATGTTATACTCTTCTCTTAATTTATACTATGATCACGATTTCATCATCAAATTTCAATTTGCTTCCCATTGGCTATTTATCTTTAAGACACTGCACTTCATTTTATCTCCCGTCATATTTTCATTACCTCCGTTGCTGATGTATCACATGGACAATCCCATATAGGGATGGCAAAAAAATTCATTCAAGACTCTCACCCAAGATTACCCTCCTAACCGGGTAAACGGGGTGGGGAACATTGCCCTGAAGTTGGTACGGAAAAACATGATCATTGCTTTGCTACTTTCCCGTTTAAAGTTAATTTCAAATTTTAGTTTTTTATCAAACAAAATAAAATATTTAGCAGCATTTTAAAGAAAACGTGAGTTGTTTTTAATAAATTGATAAAAAAAAAAGGTAATAATATTTACTAAATTAAGACATAAAAAAATAAAAGCAAAAAATAAATAAATTAAAAGGGGCGATAAACGGGACAAGATGAGAAAAATACTCGACAAGATGGGAGTAGGAACATACCCGTTTCGTTGTCATCCCTAATCCCATTTAGCAAGTTACGATCGTTAAAAAAATTACTATTCGATCAAGTCATCCAACTCACCAAAAGTGTCACATGTGATCGCGACTTCCATGATCCTATAAAACTTGTTTAAGCCTCATTTGATCGTTCCCAATTTCAGCTCCAAAAAACCTAGCCCCCCATTCTCTCATCTTACCTATGCATAACTAAATTGTATACTGAGGCATGATCAATCCTATAGAAGGACACACGAAGCTACCACTTATATCCCCAATATGCATAATTTGTTCTGCGTTTCTTTGTTCCCAATCTTTCATTATTGCAAGCTTGTGTCCAACCATACGAGGAAGGAAATGTAATTGAACTCTCGCGGCAGTGTACGAGTGGAATAGCTCGTAAGTTATGTTTGTAATTATTGTTATTCATCCCTCAACCTAGTTGGAGTGATAACACGTTGACACTTTATTCCTCAAATTGTTAGACATGCCTACAAAATTGGAAGATCGATTTAAAGAATTAGGGGTCAAAGAATTTTTATGGGATCATGTAACTCGTGTTTTACAGATGGCAAATTTTTTTTTTTTTTTTTTTTTTTTTTTTTTTTTTTTTTTTTTTTTGTGCAATAAGTCAGTAACAAGGGATTGGAGTCTGATGCATGATGAATGCAGTTTAACTTCTCAAGAAATCGAAGCAATTTGAAGTCTGACTAGTAAATCGAGATCATAGTATAAGTAAGATGAGTAATGAAATGCGTTGATTTTGATGATTTGGTTGAATTGTAATTTTTTAACAATTGCATCACATTATTTTTGTGCGACACGACATCTTTAACAGTAAAGAAATTTTACACTATTTGACAAGTAAATTGTGAACGTAATAAAGTTGGAAAATTGAAACATCTTACTCTTGCGCGTTACCATACAAATCATTTCATAGACAGTAGAATATAGACGATCAAAAGGATACCTCTATTTACATCCAAAGTTTCTATATATGCATCCACTTTTAAAAAGATAATTATATTATATTTTAGATCTTATGTAAAATTACCTAAGTAGACATATATAAAATTAAATAAAAATATATTATTCTAAATTCATTATCTAATATCTACTTTCAAAAATTCTCTTAAACCTTTTATATTTTTTTAGAGTTTGTGTTTAACTAAAATTCTAATAATCATAAAATACCTTCTTTAACTAATAGCTCTCATTAAATTTCATTTCATTTTTCTTCTTTCTATTTTCAACCACACAATCTTTCATAAAATAATATTATACTTAAATCGAAAAATTTTCTTTCTTTTTCAACCACTCATTTTTCGAAAAAACACTATTTCACTAATTTTCATTTCCAAAAACGGGGACCAAATGAGGGCTAAAATAATAAAATCCTAATTATTTAATAGTATTTTCAATGAAAATTTTATAACAAATCAACACATTATTAGAGTTATAATTGTTTCATGATTTTAAAAATGAAATCTAATTTATTTTTTTAAAGTATTGATTTGACAAATGAAAATATACGAGAAATTTCAAAATAAATTTTAACACATATCCAGATATTCTTACATTATAAAAGGAAACGAACTTCAAATTATTAATCGAAACACAAACAATGAAAATTATGAGCTTATAAGAAAACAAAATTAATTAGTGTACGTTTCGAGGAGGGATTTGTTTGGTTGCATGGACAATAAATTATCGGGAGAATCCTATAAATTCAATAAAAGAGATTTGCTAACTTTTATAACTAAGCTCTCATTTGTTTCTCATTATTTACCTATTAAAATGAAAAAATATGATCGTTATACATCACATCAAGTCACCATATTTGACTTTCTATTCTTGTGTGGGGCCCGTAACGACTATATTTTTCATTCTTAAAAAAAAAGGTTGAACCTCAACTTTGAGGGCCCCCACCACCCCACCCCTAGAACTTTGTGAGGGAGGTAAATTTCGGGATATGTCCCAACAGGTCATGGAACAAGAGCTGTCTGTACACTGCGCCTACAAGGAGTCCAATTTCATGTTTCAGGAATCAAATCCGCACACTGTGGTTGCCAACAAAGTATGAGATAACTTCACTCCTACCCTTTGCACCACTAGACTATACCCCGAGGGGCCTATATTTTTCATTCTTATTGTTACATTAATGTGTACCAAACGGGATATAAATATTAAAACATTGACATGTTAATATGGAAAATAAAAAGTAAGAATCAGATTAAATGTTAATAGTGATTGGATGAATATAGTGATTTTCGAAATTGTATTAGAACTGATTTATAATGGGGTGAATATATAAAATTTGAACATATCTATAAAGGTTAAATAAACGAATTTGATAAAGACAATATTGAAATTTGACATAAAGAGAATAGTAATTTTTTCAAATTTTAATATTTGAATATGAATGTATATCGTGTGAGATGCATATATAAAAATGGATAAAATTATTTGTACAAAATTTGGTTGATAAAATGATTTATTCACTCTTACATACATGCGGGTCTCCCTTGCATTAAAAAATTCGATCATGTGGTCCCAATCATTTTATTGCGAGACTGTATAAAATTTTTAGTACAAATGTGTATGCGCAGCACAGTCATATAAAAATTGTTTTGGTAAAGTTCATACTCGCCATCAGGGTTTGCTCGCACTTTCGGATCTGATTACAAGATCCAGTAACCCGTATCCAACTAACGGGTCACACCCCATATCCGGACGCCATTGATGCAACACCTTAAGTAAACATCAATAAACTACTTGAAACCAGAAACCCTAATTTTGGATGGAAAAAAAGAAAAACACGATGGGAGGTGACGGAATCCTGGATGCCGAATCCTTGTTCCGCACGAAATCCATAGCGGAAATCCGAAATGTGGAGGCGACTACAAGGAAACAGATTTCCGACAAAAGTGAGGAGCTCCGGCAGCTGGTGGGGAATCGCTATCGGGATCTCATCGATTCCGCTGACTCCATCGTTCTCATGAAGTCTACTAGCGAATCCATTTCTGCGAATATTGATGCAATTCGCAATGCAATTTTACATTCCCTACTTTCTCCTGTTGATTCCCCGAGGTCTCCTAATGGGGCTTTTAACCCCGCCAGAGCAGGTATTTACGGAATTGCCTGCCGGGTTAAGTACCTGGTGGATACCCCGGAGAATATATGGGGCTGCCTTGATGAGTCCATGTTTCTCGAAGCTTCAGCTCGCTATGTTCGAGCAAAACATGTACATTTCAATTTGGTTGATAATAAAGACAGTAAGAATGTGTTGTCGAATTTCCCTTTGCTGCAGCACCAGTGGCAAATCGTAGAGAGTTTTAAGGCCCAAATCTCACAGAGGAGTCGCGAGATATTATTGGATCAAACCCTTAATCTTGGGATCAATGCATACGCAGATGCGCTAGCAGCAGTTTCCATTATAGACGAGCTAGATCCCAAACAGGTTTTGACTTTATTTCTAGATTCACGAAAATCATGTATGTCCCTGAAACTTATTGCTTGTTGTAACAATGTTAATGCCGATAGTTCTGATGTAATTTCGGTGTTCTGTGAAGTTCTAAAGATAATTCAGGTTAGTATAGGTCAAGTAGGAGAATTGTTCTTGCACGTATTGAATGATTTGCCTTTATTCTACAAGACCATACTGGGTTCCCCTCCGGCTTCTCAGTTGTTTGGGGGCATTCCGGTCCCTGATGAGGAAGTGAGGCTTTGGTATTTATTTAAGGAAAGGTTGGAGTCTGTGATGGTAATTCTAGACCGA